CGTCCTATGTGATGCTTCATAAACACCGTAAGGAGAAACCTTCACATGAGAGCCACAGGAAAACTTCATTGTAGAATTACTGTGGTAAGAAAACTGGTTCATAGCACATTTCACTTAAATCATTTTATCCAGAACATGGCTGAAGCATCATGTAATTGTGTATCTCACTAATAAAAAAAACAAACAACAACTGTCAAACAGGAAACTGAGCATACCAGCACTCTGCTGCGATTTCACCAATCTTGTGGCGCGATCCACACAGACAATTAGGCATCCTGTGACTTTGGGATCCAGAGTTCCACTGTGGCCCGTCTTCTCCACCCGCAGTATCCTCCGGATCCACGCCACCACCTCGTGAGAGGACGGGTTGGCCGGTTTGTCCAGGTTAATGAAGCCGGACCTGTGGGGACATGGGAAAAATCATTAACATAGGGGTGTGGGGAGGGGTGTTCTGTTAGGACTTACTCAGCACTAAACCGATCTACAGGTCCTGCCATTACATTTAGGCCGCCACCCTGCAGGTTTTAGTCGTTTCCCTGCTTCTACACCACCTAATGGTGCACTACTGTGAATTAGGTGTGTAGAATAGAAAAACCACAGCTAGAGAGGACCATAGCTTCCTTTACAAACAGGCTCCATACAGAAAGAGGGGCTGGTGACCCTTGCATGTGAAAGCAACATGCCAAACAATGAAGGCCACAATATACCAAGTGAACCTACGTGTTGACGAGTGCATTACACATTTAGAACAATTAAAGAAATCGACGGTTGTTGATTTGTTTTTTTTTTGTTTTTATGGCTGCGGTTCACTTGAAGGCCCTGATGAAACCCCTGTTGGGTAGGTGCTAAATGTGTACAAGTATGTATATAAAACTACTGACACCAAGTAGGTATTAGTTTAAACACCTGTTTGATGCAAAACCACATTACCTGACATAGTCGTTTATGTTTCTCTTCAGAGGGTTGCTGCCATTCGGTAGAGGGGTGTAGTGAGCAGTCCGGATGTTTAGTTTGTGAAAATTCTGCAGGAAGTAGAACAGACATGTCATTTAGGATCCCAGACTGCACCATTACTGGTATTTAGAATATGAATCCCTTCCTAAAAACTTCATGGTAGTCTCAGTGAAACGTGATCAGAACGTTATAATCGTCTTGGCTGAAGTCATGTCCGGTCACCCTCCACTGGTTCCCGTTCACCTGGCAGAACGCCAGACAAACCAGCAACACAGTGAAGTGGGCCAGCCCCAAAAACTGAGGCGTGGGCCAAGACCGGGCCAAAGACTGCAGCACTCAGAGAATGGATAAACTAGTTCATCATGTCACCAAGCTGAGACCAGACCCGTGCAGGGTCTAAGGGGCATTCGCATATCACTGGACCGTCCAGCTAGGCTGTAGACTGACCTTTAGCAGGAGGGGCCACTGGGAAGTGTCAAGAGAGGCGACTATGGACTCTGGTTTGATGAAGAAGTCTCCACTCTGCTGGATGTCCTGTTTCACAAAAACGACAATATTAACTTTGAGAGAAAAAAGATAGAAAAATGCATTGAAAAAGCCACAACATGTAACTTTTGGCTCACCCCTAATTCGGCTTCGCTGACTTTCTTTGCCTTCTTCTTTTTCTTCGCCGATACTGGAGACAAAAATGTTACAATTAAACACTGATGAGTTATTCAGTGCATGTGTGAAGCCACCGTGCACACATTTGTAAAACTAACGGTTTTGATTATCAACTTAGCTCAACTTTATTCATAAAGCGCTTTCAGTCAGCCAAAGTTAAAATCAAAGCTCTGTACAGGCCATTTGAGCGAATCATAAAACACCATTTTCACCTCCACACAAGACAAACTCAAAGATTAAAAACAGTAAGAGCAAAAAAATAACCAAAAAGGTACTCAAAATGAAGCTGAAAGCCGGTCACCCTGAACGAAAAAAGACTTTCCCTGTCGTTTAAAATCAGGAATTATATCTTCTTTTCCTGCGCTTAAGTAGACGGCGTGGCCCACGTGGGCCTCTCTCTCAACACGTGGTACGCACGCGGCAGCTAACACCGTAAGCTAACGGGGCCCCGAACACCTGCAAGTGACTTTAACAATAAAACGACAACATAAACTACAACCGAACTGCTGGGCCGGAACCGAAAAGGCAGTTTTAGTTTAAAACCGGTGCTTAAAACGAGCAAAACTGCGTAAATTCGGTAGGTGAATGCAAACCCCGGTATGTTAGCATGGCCAACATCCCCCCACCATGTTACAACCTCTCGCGCGCCTTCGCCTTTTTAAAGTTATTTGACACAGAACCGAACCCTGAGCCTTGAGGGGGACCCTAAGTCCACCGGAAAACATGCAGAAAACTCGAAACTGAGTCCGGGCTCACGTAGCAAAGTACGCAGCAAAGTCGGGAACAAGCATGGCTAAAAAAAAAAAATTTTTTTAATAAAAAAAAACTAACCCTGGCCATTCCCTGCTGCCGACGGGTGCAACACGGCCTAACAGTGAGTCCGACGTTTAGTTTTTTGTGCGTTTGTCTTTGGTGATAAAGCAAACTTCGTGTCGTCCACAGAACGCGAGCACACTCACCTTCTACGTCCGCCATCTTCGCCGGAGAGAATGAGCATGGATCCAGCCTCTAACTAGCGGGGCCTCTTCTTCAGACCGTCAAAGCGAGGAAACCAAGACAGCAGGAGGGAGCACTACCGCCACCACCAGGCCAAACAGTGAAACGACAACCTACACTCAAAGACGTGGTAGGCTCCTTTTCACTGCAAATGAAATGTCCCAAATGATCAAAAACTGAAAAACACACGTTGGGATCAATAAAGTCTGTCTTAAATGTATATTCCGATTTCACATTCTGCACATTTAGATTCACATCTAAAAAGACAATTGTTGAAATGGTGGAACAAATAATGTCTGACGAATATACCCCTTAATCATGCATAAGGTAGCCTCAAACACAGGGAGAAAAGTAAGAATCTGTGAAGATAAGATCCTGAGTAGACCCCCAGACCCATAAAATTAGGATTTACTAATAAAAAAGTTCAGTAAGCAGTGATTTGGGCTGTTTGCTGTTTAGGAAAAATACAGAAGAAAGGTAAGCACAATAAACTATTCCCTGTGCACTGTTTTTTTTTTTAGTGATATGGCGAGCCTCTACGCCACAGGTGTCAGACTCCAGGCCTCTTTGGGCCGCTGTCCTGCAGGTTTTAGAGGCGTCCCTGATTCAAAGCACCTGATTCACATCAGAGAGCCATTAGCAAAGCTCAACAATGCAACAATGTTTATTCAGAATCTGGTGTGCAGAAGCAGGAAAATGTCTAAAACCCGCAGGACAGCGGCCCAAAGAGGATTCAACTCAATTCAATTGTATTTATACAGCACCAAATCACAACAACAGTTCACACCAAAAGCAGCACTAGGCGACACAGGCAAGGAAAAACTTCCTTTTAACAGGCAGAAACCTGGAGCAGAACCATGGCTCAGGGTGGGCGGCCATCTGCCTCGGCCGGTTGGGGGAGAGAGAGAGAGGGAGGGCAAGAGAGAGAGAGAGAAGGAGAGAGAGAGCAGAGGGAGTTGGGGGAGGGACCCTACACAATAACACATAGAGGTACAGCGAAGTAAAGGTAATGCTGCTATAGACTGAATAAAAAATGGTACAGATATTAATAGTAATGTCAATGATAACGATAACAGTAATAATAGCAATAGGACTGGAATTTGACACCCCTGCTCTACGCTGTTGTGATTTATAGTGGCATGGTATGAGTTGCATAAAGGCAAACTAAAAATAAATCTGATGAATCCATTGGTCCTACCAACAAAGCCATGATTGCGCTCAGCAATGGCTTCGACATCCAGATCTATGGATGATTTCACAGAATTATGTTGTGCCTAAAAGTGGCACTGGTGGATTATCCATTTATCCAAAACTGAAGACGGCAGCCTGTTGACTCACTTGTTCCTCCCAGTCCCAGTGTCATTATCCTATTTGTTTCCAGAGCTCCAAGTTCCCTTGTGACCGCTACCTTCTCAGTTTCTCCCGAGCTGTCCTTTATTGTGAGAACGGCTACTGGCGTTCCCACTATTGTTTTCCTGTTTCACTTCTTCTGCGTCTTACTACGCCCACAGTTTTCGGCCCATTTCAACATATAAGGTATCAAAATGTTCAGCTCTTTTGGCGCCATGCAGCTTTGGCTTTTGGCGTTCAAATCTTTTCAACTTTGTAAGTTATTTGACTTTTTCTGCTTTTTTTTTCTCTCATGGAAATTAATGGAGTCAAAAGCCTGGCTCCATCTGCTGGTCACCTGCAGTTCAGCCCCTTCAACTTTTAATATTTATTTCTCTGCAGACTTTCAGCCTGTGGTAAAGCTCAGTGTTAGAGCATTTGGCTGCAGATCCAGAAGTTGCTGGTTCAAATCTTATCGATCACTTAATCTGAAAGTCTGAGGGATGATCTTACACAAATAATTTACAGTAGAACCCTACATACGAATTTAATTCGTTCCAGGACCTACTTTGTATGTTTAAATATTCGTATGTTGGTTCAAATATTCCCATTAGAATACACTGTAATTCCTAAAATTCGTTCCACGGCCCAAAAACCTACAAAAACTCCTTAATAAATACAGCAGATAACTACACATGGCAATAAAACAAATGCATTATATAAGAGACGTAAAAATAAATACATTATAAAGCAATCAATAAAAAGTGTTTTTTATTTGCGAACGTAGTTAGAGGTGGAGACTGAGATACAGGACCTACCCTAACTTACTCTAATTTTCACTACCCGAACTTAAAACTAACTAATCTTATTTATTTTTATTACATTTTTATATATATAAAAAATTTTCTATGACTTTTTCATAAAAAACTTCTTTACCCGAGTTTTACTTTGGTTTTCTTGTAGAAAATTTGATGAAATTTAACTCCGCATGTTGGAAAATTCGTATGTTTAGGCGATTGGAAGTAAAGCTTCTGCTGTATTATCAATCCAAGAAAAAAAAACTCTGATTTTTAAGTAGAACTTGTGGTGTTTAAGGGTCTGGGTCGATGGGAACGACGCTTCACTGCTTTGATTTTGTGCTCCAACCTTCCTCCTGCTCCCGTTTAAAAGCCAAGTAGCTGAAGTTTGGACTGGTTTTGGTTCAATAATTCTATTTTTTTAAGTGACAACTGTAAAATTGTGTCTCCTTTAAGGTAACATAACTAGAATATTTTACTGGCTGGAAGACATTCTCCTCCTTCCTGAATAAGGCAATAAGCCTTTATGCAGGAAAATAAATTCAATTCAAGAGATTTGAGGTTTTTCTTTTTTTGGGATAAAAGCGTCTGTTAAATGCATCAACATGAACAAACAAGCATTTATTTTATTGCCGCTTCGAGTCAAATTCACTTATAGATTTGGCAAAGTCCTGCTGTGATGCTCTAAAACTCAGTTTTAAGGCAGCATGAGCCAGAATTCAAGTCATCTTTTGGCAGCAAATGAGGGAAATGCAGCCCGTGTTGTGCGTTTTATTTAAAGCACACTGAGAGGCCCCTCTCAAACTGCCTGTTAAAGTTGAATCTCCTCCAGTTGGCTGCTCAGTTACTCGGTTTCTTGACTTTTCTTTATGCAACAAACTCATGGTTTCTGTGAAGCCAGTGCTAAAAATCATCCCTCCTCCTCTGTAGGTCTTACTTTGATTGTTAGCAACAC